TGCTGGATGGCCTGGCTCATCAGATTTCTTTTGGCTAGGTTTCGGGGAAATGGGCAAGAAATGAACCTGTTTACAGGTGTGGAGATGAACTCCAGGTGGAGACCGGCCCTTATCGTGTTCAGGACCCACTTGTCCGTGGTGGTGACCTCCCATTGGTGGAAGAACAGCGATAGTCTGCCCCCTATGGGAGGTCCCATTTCCGGGGAGTCACCTGGAGCGACGAAATGGCCGGCCGCTCCCACGAAAGGGCCGCTTACCCTGGTTACCCTGGTATTGTTGCCTGGGCTTGCTCGCCTGTCTGTCTGTCAAACGACCCCTCTTGCCGGTCCGGTCTGGGAGGGAAAGGACGAAAAGAGCTTGAATAATTATATCTATTCCCCCCCCCCGAAAAGACTGCCTACGGGGGAAATAATTTTGCCTCTTGTCAGCCTTCTTAATAATATGGTTGAGGACTTTGCGCTTATCCTTATTCTCCAAGAGATAAGGAGTCAAAGCCTCACCGAATAATTTACCTCCCTGGTACGGGGCAGAGGACAGACGCCACTTGGATTTGGCATCAGCATGCCAATGCTTAAGCCAAAGCATGCATCGACTAGTGATCCCTGAAGCCATGGCTCTGGAAGCGAATTTAGTCGCCTGGAGCGTAGCATCCGAGGCGTACTCCATTGCTGCCACCATCTTACTGATGTCCTGTTGAGAGCGGACATCATCCTTGGGGGTGCGGGCCTGTAGTTGTTTTAGCCACCGGTGGGCTGCTCTAGTGAAAAACGACGCTGAGGTCGTTGCCCTAATGGCCCAAGCGGAAGCCTGGTGGATCCTGCGAAAAGATAACTCGCACTTACGGTCCTCCGACTTCAATGCTTCCGACACATCCCCAGCTATGGCTGTTGGAGAAATCAATGGTCCGAAAGGCTCGTCCACCGCAGGGACCTCCAGCGCGTCCTCCAATTCCTTAGCCACGTTGAACAGTTTTTTGTCCGTGGAACTCGGAAGGGGAAAGGAGGCTGGTAACGCCCATTGTTTCTTAACCGCAGTTAGAAACATGGGCGGACATGGGATCCGGTGCTGAGCTGCCACCGGTTCAATAAAATTTGGATCAAGATCCGAATCGGGAGCAACAGCAGTCGTCGTGGAAAGGGGCTCAGAACCATGGTGTGCGGTGGAAGAGACCTTGCGGAGCAACGTAACAAACGCCGAAGGGTGGAACATTCCAGTGGGCGCTGGAGCGTCCGTCGACTGTCCTTCTTCCTCAGACATTGGAAACTCCTGGTCAGAGCCCTGATCAGGTAGCGACAACCCCTCAGAATACAAGGATTCAGCAGGTGAAGAGGGGCCGGACTGAGGGTCATCTGTCTGAAGTGGGGTAGCAGGGGGAACTGTGACTGGAGGTATAGGAACTGCCCTAGCGTTCAGAGCGCGGTCCACTGCCTGAGCAATCAACATGGACAACCGCTCCTCTGAAGGGAAGGGAAGCTGTTCGGTCTGGCGAAGTCCAGCCGCTGTAGGGGTGAAAGTGGCCTCTGGCCTACACTGAAGCGACTGATTAAGTGGAATCTGGGACTCCTGCACCCGCCCCCCAGTCTGAGGATTGTCCAATCGAGCAATTTTTTGTGCCCTAGAGAACTTCTTTTCCAGAGCTTGGTGTCTCCTGGTGGCGTGCTTATCTGGCCCCCTTGGATGACTTTTTTGCAGATTTTGACTTTTGCGCAGCCCGTTCGGATCCGTCCGGATAAGGTGGCACAGAACTCATGCCAGCCAATGAAGGGGACACGACCTCCTTCTCAAGAGGCTCCATACTTTCCATCCTCTGATAGCGCAGGGGCTTGAGTGGGGTCCCCCGGTATCTAGAGGGAATTACCACCTTGGGTGCGGCCAGACGCAATTCCAGAGGACGCCTGGGACCCAGGTACTGATGCAGCCACAGACAGCGACAGACACGCAATGGGAGTGCCTGGTGCCCGTGGAAAGCGTGTCACAGAAAAGGACCGGTGCTCTGAGGGGTCACCGTAAGTCCCCTGAATCGCTGGAAGTAACTGATCAGTGAAAACCAATGCACGCCAACAACTTCCAGTGAGTGCTGAAATTAGTACACAGCACAAGAATTGGCTGCAGATTACCCAATAAAGCTGATAATTATTGAGACCCAGGAGCCACCAAGCAATGAAAATAAGGACTTGTGAAGTGACTGAATCAGCCTAAGGGAGCTGTAAATATAACTCTTTGTAAGAGGGGATAGGACCCTGGTCACAAAATGGCCACCGCTCGTAAAATGGTGGCCTGCCGTGAGGGGATTGAATGCCTACCTACAATGTTTAATCAATTTCTTCTTCTGGGGACTGCTGTCTCCCAGATTCTTAATCCCCCAGGTGAAGGTGACCATAAATTAACTGAGTCACTATGAATTTTAGTCCCTAGACCACCGTGCCTGGGATAAAGAATTTTAGTCTTTGCTTCAAAATGGCGGCCGCGCCAAAAGACCAACTGTCAAAATTTCCCAATTGGGAGCTGAAGAAGCCAACTATGAGCAAAACGGCTGTGGGCCGCACCGCAATCAGCCGCTAACCGGCTGACCGGCTGCCCGCTCCGAAAATACGGCCGAAAATAAGATTACAGTGTCAATCGGCCTGTTTTTCGCTTTCCTCGGAGCTCCGCGGCCGCCAACGGAAAACCTAGCGGTTTCTGTGAAAACGGCCTTCCCGGGGATGCAGCCGCAATCCCCGTCACCAGAAAGCACTCGCCGAGGAAGCAATCAGCCGATCGGCTTCCTCAGACGTCCTCCGTTAGAAATTGGCCTCCCCGGGGACGCAGCCGCAATCCCCGTCACAAGAGGCCAATCGCCGAGGACGGAGAGAAGTCTAACGGCTTTTCTAGCCTCAAATGATCACGGAGAGAAGAAAACTGAGAGAGGGACAAACGGAGGGAGCTGACAGCTTTAAACCTCGTCACTCCCTGCCGATAACGGAGCCGTTGCCGCGAGCTCTAACCGCGCTCCGCTATGAGTGAAATTTGGAGTCCAAATTTTCAATTTAGTAGTTCTGCCCTGTGAGCTCCTGGAGGGAGGGGAGAAAGAAGGGACCCCCTTCTGCCTCCCAATAAAGCCCCCCCCCACTGTAGAGCTGACAGGGGAACTGAAAGTTTTCTATATATCTCTCTAATTGTATTGATGAAGATGGAGGACCACTAATAAGTCAGACTGTACCTAAGAGCCAGAGTTGTACGTCCTGTCCTTGGGCAAGATCAAGTCAAGACTGGGCATAGGTCCAGGGACAGGGCGTGACAACTTTGGCTGACTTGATCTGATTGGGCAGGAATACAGTCTCAACCCATGGGTGGATCCTCCATCTCCAGTGCTGGAGAATATGAGCAATATCTTCAAAGTCTGTGGCACCAGATATACACATCCTCTAATGACAGGGCAGGTGATGGAAGTATCTCATTTGGCGATGGAATTCACCAATTCAGATCTTGTTCCAGAATAGCCCTTCTTAATAACTGCATCAAACTCACTGACAGGTATTTTTCAAATTGAAAAATTGTTTTGTTCTTAGCAAACCAATTTAAAGATTTATTTTTTGCCAATAACTCCATGTCACTTTGGACACTGAGATCTGAGAAATTTAAAAATTTGCCTTACTTGTTAGTTGAGAGTAAACACTGGGTAGAAATAACTTTGGTAAGTCAGCTTACCCAGGAATTGGGCTGAGCCATACTTAACTGTTTTACTAAGCATATTTTGGGTAACCTATCAGGGTCAGTTGAATGGATCCTCTGCCAGTATGTGAACATTTTAATTATGATAGGCTATGTATGGAATTGACGCCTGCTTTGCACTGACCACAGGGGCTTATGTGTTCTTATCAATTCCAAATATACTTCTGTAAAAAAATGGGTCAGAACTTGTTCAAGTGAGGAAGCTTTTGTAAGGCCCTTTCATTCAGCACAATAAGTCAGCATTGGGGCTACTTTTGCCCTGAATACTTTGAGTATGGGGTCAAGGTACCTGGGGTAATTGTAATTAAATAGTTTATATAATCTTTTAATACTTTCCTCAGCCCCTGCTGAGCTTCTTTTAAAATTATTTACCCACAACTCTGTGTTGGCAAAAACCACTCCTAAACAAGTAAAAGAATTCACTTGATCAATAGGCTTCCCATTTATCTGTTTGATAAATACAGTCAGATTTTATTTGAATTTATTGATATTTAAAGAAAGTATTTAGCTTTCACAACAATCTTCTCAGGACTATTTGAGAGTGAGGCATAAGTACCATATAAATGTATTAATCCTGCATACGAGTGTCTGAAGCATATAGGAATTTTGGAACAGCATTGACATACGGCATTAGGGCTAGCAAATAATTCTGTCTAACACCCTTATGTATGGGTATACTCTTAGAGAACCTCTAACACCCATAGAGACTTTCAAATGGATTTTTGAGTTGTGGGCACTAACCAAGAGGAAACAAGAGTAAGAATCTTCCATATTTACTTTGGCCAATTTCTTCCACAAAATGTTTCTCTTCATAGAATCAAAATATGCATTGAGATCTATAAAAGTGGTAAACAGTTTCTTGCCATTAGTCAGTTATTTTCTTGTAAGGTGATATTACCTATTGTTGACTGCTCTGGTCTAAATCTAGCTTGTCTCTTCATTAAGAGATTTTTTTTATACATTATACAGTCTTCTATTTTGCTCAAAAAATGTTTGCATACATTTTAGCCACAATTCCAATAAAGCTCCAGTAAGGTATTGTAATGTTTTGGGTCACCCCAGTCTCCCATTTATAATGGTGACTTATCATCCAACTGGGATGCAACCTGTTAACACCCCTGTTAACACCCTTGTTTATAATCAGATGGGAATCCTGACGTTACAGTTTGGCAACACTTTCCAGGAAATTGGTATACTTTATGAAATTTTCCGTTCATTAAAATATTTACTTTAATTAAAAGATCTGTTATACTGAACAAAATAAGTGAGAACCATAGATATAAACTTACTTGTTCAGGGAGAGGTCAAGAATAAATGTAGAACCGAAAGCTTCAATCTGGAAACTTGCCTGAGCTAGATGCACAGCCTAAAAAAAAGAAGAGAAGAATGTGAGGACAGAAATGAAGACAAAAATATGCATAAGAAAAACTTTTATCAACTTTGATAAAACTTTTATGTTTTATCAAATTGTCCATATAAATCTGTCTCATTTTGATCTTACCCAGCTGAGTTCAAATAATATGGAAAAATATTAGAGTCTTATGTACACGTGCATCTTGCAAAGCTATCTGGGATTTTGTGTTGACCTTGTAGAAACCAAAACAATGGATTGCATCCTCTATAATATGAACACCACCATCTGTCAGCTGCATCCATGGTTTTCCTAGCTTCTTTGAACACTAAAGGGTAGGGTGGAGGGGTCATGGGTGGCTAGATTTCTGAAGTGAGAGTATGTTGCTATTGGTCTTAAAAAGGGCAGTAGATTGACCTCTCTTGAAGAAGTCATACCTTGATCCAGCCTTGCATGATAACCATCTACCAACTTCTTACGGACGTTTGTAGAAAAAAATGTAGTGGTGGCTGAGCTAAACATTATCTTAAACAAAACAGATTATCTAAATTCTTTTCTGACTGGATTCAGGCTCAAGCATGGGATGGAATCAGCATTGTTCACTCTGGTAGATGGCCTACAATGTCACTTGGGAAATGGGAGTTTTTCCCTACTAGATCTATTCAACTCTCAGCAGCTTTTGGCTCCACTGATCATGGCATTCTACTGCAGGGGTCCCCAGCCCCCGGTCAGTGGACCAGCACTAGCCATGGCATGCCAGAAACCGGTCTGTGCAAACAAGCAAAGCCCCATCCGCAGGTTGCAGGCAGTACATGAAACCATGCCCCGTCTGATCCGCAGAAAAACCTCCCTCCACGAAACTGGTCCCTGGTGCTCAAAAGGTTGGGGACCTCTGCTCTACTGGATTGTTTGTTGGAGTTAAGAGCCAGAGGTACAATTTTGCAGTAGTTTCACTCCTACCACGATGAAGGAAAAGAGCTCAAGTCTATGGGTGTTCTAAAGAATTTAAGTTCTTTCCCACTTCCATGTAAAGAATTAAGATCTATTTCTATTTAACATCCATACAAAGTTGCTGGTTTGGGGTGAGATATCAGTACATTGATGATACTCCAGTATATCTTGTTACTCCAGGTTATACTAGATATGCTGTAGAAATTCTAGTTGTCTGGGGGCTATGACAGTTTGGAAATAAGCTTAGGTTTAAGCAGGACAAAATTTCTATTTATCCAGAAATATTCAGGATTTAAAATGGTATCAATATCAATACAGATGGGGTCATTCCCCGTGAAAGAGCAGGTATGCAGTTTGGCTGCTTCTGAATGTTTACATAGCTGACCATTTTTAACAGTTCTACTGTTTTCCACAATTTTCTACGGTTTTACACTTCTAGTCATTCCACGTTTTGTGACTGGTCTTCCTGCTAATGCTGTACATATTTTCAGTCTGTTAAAAATACAGTGAAAATAAAAAATAACATACCTATAAAAATCACAGTATCCAAACCCATACTCATAAAAGTTATACCTAAAACAAAATTTACAAGCACAAGAGCTAGCAGATTAATTTTAGATGAAAGAGCTACTTAATTATAAATGATTCTGGTAGGGCAAGTATCAAGAAAAAGAATCAAACAAACCTCTGAAGGATAAGGTTTTTACATCTCAATGCTGCTGTTAAAAATAACTTTTTTGTTCCCACCAGAAGCACTTCAAAAATTGGCAGAATGAGAGATGGGCCTATCAATAGTTTAGCAGGCATAGTGGGGAAAAATATATTTTAGCTAACTTGTTTGTTTTCAAGCTACTTGGTAGCATTTTTAATTGAGTCTGGGCTCAAAATGAATTCTTAATCTTAAGGTGACCAACCGTCCTCCTTTAGGGAGGACAGTCCTCCTTTTGTGAGTTCTGTCCTCCCTCGAAAAGTGTCCTCCTACATGTCCTCCTTTTCGATATTTGAAGACTAATCTGCAGGGCTTTTTTTTTTCTCAATCTTCCCCGCAACAGAATGGACTTGCGGAAAAGAGTCATGCCTCTACCTCTTAGGTGGCCACCCAAAAGTAACCTACGGACGAGGACTCTGGTTCATCGGTTTGAAACTGTGCGGGGGACAACGACACCCTGGGTCAGAATAACTCCCACTTTCGCCGATTACTACATGATCCATAACCGAGAGGATGGGGGTTATTGAGCCTAACTGACCTAAGGGTGGGCGTGGATTCTCCATCTCCGTACTGAGAAAAGGCGTTCAGGTAAGACAACGCCCCTTCTCCAGTACAGGAGATGGAGAATCCACCGGTGGGACATACCAAAGCCTCACTGTCCCAACGGGTGGGAATCAGGTAAGGCCGAATCCGCGGTCCCCGCAATCACCTGCTGGAGTACTCTCCTGCCAAAGGAGGCGTCAGCCGAGACGAAGCGGTCAATTTTATAATGGCGCACGAATGGGGAAGGTGAAGACCATGTCGCAGCTCTGCAAACTTCCTCGATGGAGGCCTGAGTGGCCCACGCCGCAGATGTTGCAGCGCTGCGAGTGGAGTGTGCCGTGATACGATCTGGAACCGGCAGGGAGGAGGCCTTATACGCCTCCGCGATGCAGGCCCCAATCCACCTGCCAATGGTGGAGGTGGACACCCTCTGTCCTAGAGAGGCCGGACGAAACGAGATGAAAAGGGCCTCAGACTTCCTAAAGGGCGCTGTGCGTTTGATGTAGCGCTTTAGTGCCCTGCGAACGTCTAGTGTGCGCCACTGACGTTCCAGATCGTGAGAAGGATTGGGAGAGAAATTTGGCAAAACGACCTCCTGAGTCCTGTGAAAGATCGAATTGACTTTAGGTACAAAGGTAGGATCTAAGCGAAGGACCACACGGTCCTGATGGAAAACGCAGAGATCCTCTCTGATTGAAAGGGCAGCTAGTTCCGAGATACGTCTGGCAGACGTGATAGCTACAAGGAACGCAACCTTGAGAGACAAAGCCCGCAATGGTACCGTGTTAATAGGTTCAAAGGGGGGTTTGACGAGCGCCCGAAGTACCCGAGGGAGCTCCCAGGAAGGGTATCAGTGCACCACGGGAGGTCGGGAGTTGGATGCGCCTTTAAGAAAGGCATGGTTCCTAGGGTGTTGAGCTAAGGGACCCGAATTGGCACAAGACAGCAACGTAGATAGGGCTGCCACCTGTCTACGAATGGTGGCAGGTGCCAGCCCTTTGTCCAAACCGTCCAAAAGATATTCAACAATCTGAGGAATGGTTAGATTGTACATATCCAGTTGTTGTCTGCCACACCAATTGCAAAAACTTTTCCATGTGGAATCGTAAATACGATTGGTAGCGGGTCGATGAGCAGCCTGGATCAAGGAGATTGCTCGTGGGGAAAAACGCTCGAGTCATGATGCGGCGCTCAAGCGCCATACGGCTAACCGAAGCCACTGAGGGTCCGGGTGTTGAAGGCCCCCCTGTTGTAGCGACACGCGATCCGGGGGAACCTGCCATGGGGAATGGACGGAAAGGCTCATTAGGTCGGCGAACCAAGGCCTCCGAGGCCAGTATGGAGCCACCAGAACCAACTCCGCCCTCTCCAGCAGCAGCCTGCGTATGGTTGCCGGAATGAGCGGCAGGGGAGGGAAGGCGTAGAGTAAGCCCTTCGGCCACGGAGTCCTTAAGGCGTCCGTCCCCTCCGCCCCCGGGTGATAATATCGGGAGAAGAACCTGGGGAGCTGTGCATTGTTCGGTGACGCAAACAGATCGAGGACCGGAAGGCCGAATCTGCGTGCTATCTCTGAGAACAGGACCGGATCCAGTCCCCATTCCGAGGGATCTATCGTGGCTCGACTCAAGAAGTCTGCCTGTTGATTCCTGTCCCCGGAGATATGCTCTGCCGAGGGAAGCCAGGTTGGTTTCCGCCCAGGACCCCAGTAGCCGGGCCTCAGTCATGAGGGACCTGGACCTGGTGCCTCCCTGCTTGTTTACGTGGGCTTTGGATGCCACGTTGTCCGTGAGGACCAATACGTGACGACCCTTGATGTGGTGTCTGAACTGACGGAGGGCTAGGTGGATGGCCCTGAGTTCCAGCCAATTGATGTTGTGTCTCAAGTCTGCGCTTGACCAACGGCCCTGCGCAAACTGAGACAGTAGATGGGCACCCCAGCCGAACAGGCTGGCATCCGTCGTGATGGTAAGACGGTCCGGCTCCTTGAAAGGTGACCCCTTGGTCACCGCCCGCGAGAACCACCAGCGTAGGGACCTCCGGGCGTGCAATGGGAGCTTCACCCGTCGGTTGGATGCGCTGACGTTCAATCGCTGGAACGGTAAAAGGAACCATTGGAGTTCCCGTAAGTGGAGCCTGGCCCAGGGGACAATGGCTATGCAGGAGACCATCTTCCCTAAAAGTTGGGATAACAAGGCCAACGTCACTACCTGTTCTCGGTACACCCTGCGAGCTAGGTCCCTGATGCTGTCCAACCGCTCCTGGGAGAGATAGACCACGCAGTTCGCAGTGTCTATGATGGCTCCCAGGTGTAGAAGTCTGGCTTTTCTGGAAGTTCACCAAGAACCCGTGCTGTTGAAGGACCTGAATGGTTAGGGCGAGGTCTGTCTGAGCCGCCCGGAAGGAGGACGCCTGAATCAGAATGTCGTCCAGATAACACTGGATGCGTACTGGTACCTTCCGGAGGTGGGCGGCCAGCACAGCCAGGATCTTGGTGAACACCCTGGGTGCCGAGGAGAGGCCGAATGGAAGAGCCCTGTACTGGAAATGCTGGCCCCTGTAACAGAACCTTAGGAACCGCCTGTGGTCTGGAAGGATGGGGATGTGTAGGTACGCTTCTGAGAGGTCTATCGACGCTAGGTAGTCGCCCTGTCTGATGCCTCCCAAGATGGATTGAAGCGATTGCATTTTGAATTTTTTGTATGCAATGTAACGATTCAGGCTTTTCAAGTCTAGAATCGCCCTCCATCCCCCTGAGGTTTTGGGAACCACGAAGAGGATGGAGTAGAATCCCCTTCCTTCGTGACCTGACGGT